TATGCCTAGTGGCACCAACAGGAGGATGCTCCGGGCTGGGATCGAGGGATTCTGAGGGCGGAAAGGGGGATCAGGACTGGGGCAGGGAGTTGGGGTATGGAGAGAGGCTCAGGGGGTGCAGGCTCCGGCCGGCGCTTACCTTAAGCGACTCCCGGAAGCAGCGGCATGTCCCTTCTCCGGCTCCTATGTGGAGGTGCAGCCACGTGGCTCTGAACGCTGCCCCAGCCGCAGACACCCCCCCTGCACCTCCCATTGGCTGCGGTTCCTGGCCAATGGGACCTGTGGGGGTGGCACTTGGGGCAGAGGCGGCATGCACAGCAGAGCCCTCTGACTGCCCCTATGAGTAGGAGCTGGAGGGGGGCAGGCCACTGCTTCCAGGAGCTGTGTGGAGCGGCCTCCGACCCTACTCCCCGGCTGGAGCACCGGAGCGGGGCAAGCCCCAGACCCCGCTCCCTAGCGGGAGCTTGAGGGGCAGATTAAAACAGCTGGTGGGCCAGATCCGGCCCACTGGCCGTAGTTTGCCCACCCCTGCTTCAGTCCCATCTATCTTACTATAGTGTCCATCTTTTCTATGCAGTTGGATCATTTTTAACATGCAATATTATTTTTTATGGAAAATTATTTTATTTATATAAAAGAAAAAAGGAGAGAGACAGGCACCACCACCCAATACACAACTGGCACTCAGTGAACACATGGAACTGTAAAGTCTAAATGTTCTCTTGAATGGTGTTTCAGAAAGATATATTGTAATGAATCGGTGATTAGCACTGGCCGAAAAACAAGAATTCTGTTTTGTAATATATTTACAGGTTGCAAAATCTGTTTTTGGTCCAATGCTGAACAACAAAATGAGACCTTTCCAAATTTTTCATGAAAAACACCAGCAAGGCAGACACAATGCCCAAATAGCCAAGAGCTCAGTGGTTAGGACACTCACCTCCAAAATTAGGCAGAGGAGGGACGGAGGTTTCAACGAAAAAGAATGAATACATGAAGAGAAAAGATCTCCAAGATCCTCTCCATTTTAGAGAGCGGCACTAGTTTCAATTTCCCTTAGCATTTGAGTTGCTTTTGATTTCCAAGCAGTTCTCTTCCATATCTTTGTAATTTCCAAATGATCATTCAAAGTTATTGTTTTCGCTTATCATATGATGCCATCTCTAATTGTAGGCAGATGTGGATTTCACCATTAGTACAGGAATATAGTCTCAATACTTCCATCTCAGAGTACTTTACATACATCTAAGGCCTGGTCTACACTACGACTTTAATTCGGTTTTATCAGCGTTAATTCGAATTTACCCTGCAACCGTCCACACAACGACGCTATTTATTCCGAAATAAAGGGCCCTTTAAATCGATTCCTGTACTCCACCCCGACAAGCGGAGTAG